TTCCAACAACAGGTCTGTCATTACACTCACTGTCCTTACCATCCATTGAACCGCTTGTATGTCACCAACAGATCCATCGTTTGAATGAGATTTGTTGGGATAAGTGTCTCACAGATAAGCCCTCCTCGAAGTTGGACTCCAGAAGTGAGACCTGTCTTAACAATTGTGTCGACCGTTTCATTGACGCCTCACTCGCTATCACTCAACGGTTCGCTCAACTCATTCAGAAACAGTCCATGAATTGAGCGCTCATTTGATCACTAGTTGTGATCATTCAGTAATTATTAACAAAATCGACGCTTTATTTCGTTTGTTATTAAAAAAACAACTTTTATTTAAATTAGTTTACAATCAATGAATTATTATCTCTTTTTTTCACCTAAAAAATAGTCTTAAAAATTGTAACAAAAATGAGTGAAACATTAAAAACAATAGTTTTTTAGACGAGTTCTGCCTTCGAGTTAAGAGGCGACGACTTATCGACAATCACTTTGTTATTAGTATTCATTAAAATGGACTCAAATTCTGGATCTNAGGCGACGACTTATCGACAATCACTTTGTTATTAGTATTCATTAAAATGGACTCAAATTCTGGATCTAATGGATTGGATTGCGGGACAGATCTCAATGCGGTTAAGTTGACGAGAGTAGAGGCCTGTCGGGCGCCGGACTTGCCGTCCGAGTACTTGTAGTGACGGTAAGACATGGGATGCGGTTGTGTTCGCGACCGGCGGTAAAGCATTTCACGCGAACGACTGGAATCGTATTCACTCGAAGACTCACTATAATTGGATGTGCGGACTGAACCACAATTCAAAATGATTACAATCTGTTTGTAATGTATTATATAGTAATTGTAATCACTCTGTAATCACAATTGTAATACCTCTTTCGAGTGCAATGGACTCCACTCTACGGCAGGATGTGGTCGACGACGAGAGTTCTCCAAAGTCTGGGTTAAGACCTGAGCCACCACTAGAACAGCCTTCGCCACAACGGGTTCTCATTCTTGAAAATGATTGTCAGATTCATTAGAAATGGTTATAACGTTCGCAATGTGTGAATTCCTACCGATTCCAACACCTGATGATCGCTCTCTTAAACATTCCCAGAGTTATGGGATAACCGATCACTCGATTTAAGTTCTCATTAGTTTCGGCAAAAGAAGTGGTCAGTGGAGAGACATATATCGGATAACCGATCGGTTGATCGCATGAAGAGTTAATAATATTTCTGGAATGAAAACATCTATATTGTGATCCGTATAGAAATAATGTGCAAATCATGTGATACCTGAGCGCTTGTTTGGCGTTTTGAATGGAACCGCGCTCTGGATTGCGATTTCTATCAAACAGACAAATATTTAATTGATTGAAAAGCAATCAATTGAAACAAACCTTAAATAAATCAACTCTTGCTGCTGTCCGGCCCACAGCCCTCTCACACACTCTCTGTTAACCTATCATTGAAATAATTCAAAATAAATTGGTTGAAAGTATTACAAAGAAATGGTGGTAAACCTTAATGACTCTGAAGGAGAGGTATCTCTTGTTCAACATAATAATCTTGTACTGATCGGTCCCGTCATCGAACACATGCCTTAAGGCCAACAGTGAGGGCACATTCGATAGGACGGCATTCCTCCAGACGGGGTCCGCCTCGTGTGAAATGACCAGATTTTTCTGGTAGTTATTAATAGCGTCGAAAAGCGTGGGATTGTCGTCGTATTCTTCGGTGGACATGAAGTGGTCCTGATGTAGCTTAAGAGCCATTCGCACTGTTCATCAAATACATATGTATATCGATTAACACTCACCACACGGTTCAGTGCATTGATTACCTGCGGGTGCGATCACTTTGCGCAACAAATCCATGTCTTGGAAAACCCACTCGTCTTTTGGTGAAGTGATACGAAAGTCTCCTTTGAAAAG